GCCGTGGCGGCAGGCTACCCCAGAGTCCCCTCCACCCCAGGCCTCTGCCTGCCTCACTTTAGAATGGGGCCAGGCCTGGGGCCCTGAGACCAGGCAAGAGACTGTGGTCCTAATGGTGGCTCCCGGGGTCCTCCTCATCCCCCGCCTCGTCCCCCTCCTCGTCCCCCCTCCCCCGTTTCTCCCCTTGTCCCCGCACAGCCCCCAGGTGATCACAGGCTACAGGGAAGAAGGGGCTGACGCCGCACGCTTTACCTGGTCTTTTATCTGCCTGTGCAGTGGGGTCCAGGTGGATAAAAGTGTCGTTAGTTCCCAGGGATGTTTGAGGGAAGGAGCAGGTGCCCCCAGGGGGCCCACGTTCTGCTTCACTTCCCCCTCCCCGGGAGTCCCCCTCTGGATGCTGGTAGGCTGGGGGCTGCACCCTCCACGGTGGGCAGGAGAGGCCATGGTGGGGGGAGTTCCTGGGGGGCTGGCTTCTGAGCCCTGTGAGGAGCCCCCGGGGTCCCAGGAAGGGCTTCTCACTGGTCCAGTGGCAAACAGGGCTGCAGTTCCAACAAGGGACCTTTGAGCCTCGAGCCCCAGATGAGGTATGGAGGGGCAAACACGTGGCCCTCAGTGTGGTCGCTCCCCACAGCCCCCGATGCGGTCAGATTCACATTTAGGGGGCCTTTGCCAAAGCGGGGTCTCAAGCAGAGCATGCTCCTGGCACAGCACCTTCTCTGGGCCTCGCGGCACCGTGAGCTGGCTCTGAAAGGCACACGGGGCTGCGGGGGATCAGGAGCGATGTTCCCTGCGTCCGCAACAGAGGAGTCGAGCCTTGGGAGGGCGTCGCATCCCCCACCCCAGGTCAGTCTGGGGTGAGAGCTGCAGTCCAGACAAGGACCACAGCTCCTGGTGAGAACAAAGACACAGAGTGGGGTGATGGCGACTCCCCCCACCACCGCAATGTGGGCTGAGCACCCTCCTCCCAGCCGGCATGAGCCCCCCTGCACCTGAGTGCCTCCCACCGATGTAACACCAACAGGGAGCTGCCCCTCGGGCCCCTGTGGGTCTGTCTCCACCTCCTTTGCCCACAGCCTGATTCTTCCGGGCAGTCCTCCTGGCCCGCGAAGGGGCCTGACATGGGTGCCCCTCTCAGGACCACACCTCTTTGATCCGGGAGCCAGATGTTAGAGCTCAGCTCAGCCAGGCTCTGGATTGAGGCTGGGTTGGGGGGCGGGCTCTGGTCGGGCACCCTAGAAAGGCAGTTCACCAGGAGACACACCCTGGCCAGCCCCCGCAGGAACCTGCAGTGATGCACCCTGTTCCCCACGCAGCTGACGATGGGCCAGGTGGGGGTGCTGGGGGGCCCCGCAGTCACTCAGGCTCCCCAGCTCTGCACCAGTAGTAGCCGGGGCAGCCTGTTTCAGGGTTGTCTGCCATCCCTATCTTGGCCTCTCTGACGCTGAGCCCTGGGCCCATTGTGGCAGGTGTCCCCAGTCCCTTCCAGGGAGTGTGGGACCAGCCGCTTCACCATCTGCTCGGCCTCAGACGGAGCCAGGAGACCGTGGTGGGGGCAGGAGGCCAGCTCCCTCAGGCCTGGGTTCTGTGGCTGCCAAGGGGGCCTCAGGGACCATGGTCTGCAGTGCCTGAGAGTCCCTCCCAACTTACTAGTCTCTACTGGCCATCCCCAGACAACACACAGACCTGTCATGACCATGGCCAGGCTCCTCTGTGTGGCCTGGTCAGTCTCCAGTTTGGGGATTCTGGGCAGCTGTGAAGCCCGCGGAGGTGGTGTGGGTCGAGGTGCTGATCTGTAGATCCCCGTGCCTGCCAAGCCCTGCCCGAGAGGCTGTCCTGCTTCGCTGGCGGGCCGAGATGTTCCCTAGGGCCTAGCCAGCCCCACGAGATCCCCAGCACCAGTGCAGGTGGACACCTGTTCTGAACCTCTGGGGCCTGCAGCCCCCACCCGGCGGGGCTTCTCCTGCCCCTGCCCAGGGATCCCCCCAGGACCCCAGGGAAAGGCAGCCCCCGCTGGACCACAGCCAGATGGGTCCCTAACGGGCAGGTCATACATGGCAGTCTCCTTGAGATCCAGGGCACCAGAGCGTCCCGGGCACTCAGGGGCTTGGGGATGGACACTTCCCGGCAAGGCCAGTCCCTGTGGCCTGACAGCGGTGCTGGGAATCCCACTCCTCCTGGTCAAGGACAGCAGGTCTGTGCGAAGGCCCCATGGGCGGGGAGCTGTAGGGTGAACCTCGCAGGCAGGCTGCTGTGTCCCCGTCGCCGTGCCCCATCTCACTCCAGCAGCCCCTGGGCGGCCTCCCTGGGCTGCTTCTCGGGTCTGAGTTCCCGTGGCTCTGGGCCTTCTGTCCAGCCCTGGGCCTTGCTTTGGTCTTCGTCCTCCTTCCCTTTGCTGGGTCCTGCCTCCCAGCAGCCTGCTCTTGTCTTGGTCCTGGGCCGCCTCATGCACCTTGCTTGGAGGGTGCCCATCCGTCACGGCCTGGCTCCCCGGGTGCCTTCTGCTGTGCCCTGCCCATGAGGGGCAGCCCTGGGGGAGTCCCGCTGCCTGTCAGGGGGCCCTGCATGCCAGGGTCCTCCCGTCACCTGAGACGTGACTGGCCCGGAACCCACTGAACTTCTAGCGTGGGCCTACATCAGGGAGACCATGCTCTCCCCACCTCCAGCCTGAGAAGACTGTTGCACGGCCTTTGGGGAGGCTGGGTCGGGACTGCTCCGAGGGGGCCCTGGGTTGGCAGAGGCTGGGGTGCGGTGGCTCTGGCTGCCGCAGGGCTGGCGGCAAGGAGAGGCCATGGGGCATGTGGGTCCCACCCTTCGTGCTTGTCAGGCCCCGGGACCCCTGGCCAGTGGGAGGTCAGGAATCTGGGCTGGCGGGGACCCCTCCTGAGGTCGGGGTGCGGGCAGGTCCGCGGGCCAGCACGGCAGCGGTCCAGCATGGACGGCTTAGGCTCGGCCCAGCCTGTCGCTTGCCTCTGGTCTCGTGGGGGCAGGGGTCCCAGCGTGGCGTGCGGGGAGACCTCAGGCCCTGCCACAGAAGGTGAGAAGCCACAGGCTAGTTTCCTTTGGAGTGGAGGGGCCCCTGCACCCCTCCCACCCTCCGCAGGGCTCTCCCTCCCTGGCTGTGGCGGGTCTTGCACACGTGCACCCGGATTCTGTCTGGCCTCTGGGGTACTTTCCGATCTGAGGCCTTGTCACATCGGGGGAGGCGTCCTTCACACCCACAAACTCAGCGTGGCCAAGCCTGCCAGGCAGGCCTGTTCGGCGCCTTCATTTGTGCAGCTGGCACCTCAGGTTCCATAGTTTCCTCACCCAAAAAGGAGCCCTGAACCCTCTTAGCAGCAGCCCCCGGATGACTGGTGACCACAGCCACGTTCTGTGGATTTGCCTCTCCTGTGACACTCAGCAGTCCCACAAGCGCCTGCTCTGCCCCCAGACGCACATGCCCTCACTGTGTCCACACGGACACTCGTGGGGCAGACGGAGGACACAGCAAGAGGCCCAGTCGGGACGCCCAGCGCCTTGGTGCCGTCCCACACTTAGCCGCGCAGCCACAGGTGCCGCCGTCCCGCTGCTCCCATCTCAGCCCCCGTCTGTCGGCATCTCTGTCCTTCCCCTGCCCCCGAGGGAGGACTCGGCCCCCAGCCCACGCGGGCCCAGGGCTGAGGGTCCCAGGCACTGTTCTGTGCTCCCGTGTCACGGGGGCACACGTGACCCTCCCACAGTGGGTGTGCTGCGGGCACTGCCTACACCGACGGGACGTAGCCTCCGCGTCCTGCTGCCTGCCTGTGACAGCCTCAGCTGGCGTGGCCCCTTCAGGTGTCCGGGCAGTCTCCAGGACGCCCACACCCGTGCCGCGGCCTCCCCCAGGTACATCCAGATGCTGAAGGACCACAGGCCCCGGATCGTGTGGGACAGCCAGGCAGCAGAGCATTTCTTCGAGTACAAGAAGTGAGTGTCCGGCAGGAGGCCCTAGGTGAGGGGTGTGCCTGCCCAGGCCGGCCAAGGGCTCCGGGGCCACCAGCCCGAGCACCGCCTCCCACTGAGGGCTGCATGGCCCAAGCAGTGGGACCCGAGGAGGGCCCTTCCCTGCGCGATGCAGAGACCTGTGCTGGAAGGGGAGGCGGGGCCGGCTCTCCCTTCCACTCGGGATGGGGGTGGCATGGGGGTGGCGGGAGGAGCAGAGGCCGGCCGGAGGCAGAAGGCCCGTCGTCTTTTGCAGAAGCCGCGGTGGGAGGCACCTGGTCTTCTATCCAACTCTGAAGGTACGCGTGGGCCGGCCTTGATGCTGGGGGTGGGGTGGCAGGTGTAGCCCCTCCCACAATGACCCTTGCCCTCAGCGAGGCCGGGGGTGGGGGGAGGCCTGGCTGACGCTCGTGTGGTGGCAGTCTGTGCAGGCGCGGCTGCAGCTGGCCCGGGAGCTGGGCGTCGGCGTGTCCATGTGGGAGCTGGGCCAGGGCCTGGACTACTTCTACGACCTGCTCTAGGCCTGGCCGTGCGCGGACGGACGCTCCCCCAGCGATGCAGTGACCGGTTCACACGCGAAATACAGACTCTTCTCGGTTTTCCGTTCGGTGTCTGCTGCAGTCCTCGAGCGGTGGCCGAGGGGTGCTGGGAGCCAGGCCTCTTCACCAGCAATGTGGGGAGGGGCCGTCCTGGCGGTGTTGCCCAGAGGACGCGGCCCCTCCCACGCAGCCCTCACTGCGGCCGGGCCGGCTCTCTCCGCTCTGGACCCCCGGGCTGTGCTGAGGGGTTCAGCCTCTCACTGCCCACACCGGCCCGGTGAGCCCGGCGAGGCTGTGAGGGCTGCTGGACAGAGCCCAGCGCAGAGCAGCTGTTCCTGTCCCACGGAAGGACCCCTGTGGGCCCCTGGGTGCCAGCGGGCCGGGCGGTTGTCGGGTTCTGCCTGTAGCCAAAGACAGTGGCCCCTGCCCCCCCCAGCCCCTCAGCTAGAAGGGCTGCTGGCCCCTGCTCCCCCGCCACTGGGCTCCGTGGCCCGTGGGCTCCAAGCAGCACAGCCCCTCGGGGAGCAGGCCCATCCAGGGCCTGGTGCTGTCCACGGGGCCAGACCCGACAGACGGGCAGGCGCTGCAGGGGACTCGGGGCTTCCATGCTGCGAGTCTGGGGGCAGAGGCCATGCTCCCTGCTCTCCTGCTGTGGGACATGAACGGGAGGGCTCTGAGGGGCGGGGCCAGCCAGTGCCCTGTTGAGTGGCCCCACAGAGGAACCCCGCAGTTCTGAGGGGACGGGCCCTGCCAAGTGCCCCCATTCCCAACCCAGCAGACTTGCTGGGGGCGGGGGCAGGGCAGCCTGCGAGGGCGGATGCAGAGTCTGGGCCTGCACAGAGGGACGGGGAGGGCGTGGCGGGGGGGCGCGAAGCTGTCCTGGGAAGTCTGTGTGCGCACCTGCTGTGGGTGCGTGCGTGTGCACGTGTGTCCGCACGTGTGCCCGTCTGCTGGAGGGTCGGCATGTGGGGCCACAGCAAGAGGTTCCCCGAGTCCCCACACCAGCGCCCCTGGCAATGGGCAGGAGCAGAGGACGGAGCATCGCCTTGTCCCGGCTTCAGAGGCCTGGGCAGGAGGGGAGCCAGGAGGCCGTGGCGCCGGGGCTGGGGTGCCAGGCTCTAGTAGGTCTCAAGTCTGTTCTGGAGCTGGGGGTTAGACGGGGAGCCGGGTAGGTGATGGACACTGGGTGTGGGGGGGAAGGTGGGACCAGTAAAGGGGGTGAGAGCTGTGAGAGAGGGGTCCTGAGGTCAGACCCCAGGGGCAACCCACACGAAACAGTGAGCCTTGGAAGCAGAGCCAGCAGGTGGGGGTCTGGGCTGGAGGGCAGGGACCCTGGGCTCCAAGGCCACTGGAGGATCATGGGGGAAATTGAGTCAGGGCTAGAGTCTGAGGGTCACCTAGGAGGCTGTGAGCGGAAAGGGTCCCAGGTCTGCAAGCCGTTCCCATGGGTCCAGTGAGCTTGCACGTGGCGTGCTCGGGACCAACCGAGCGTGGCGCAGGTCTGTCTCTGGTCACACATACCAATAGGGGGGCTCTATGGACACGGGGTGGGTAGGGTCACGTGGGGACTGCTTTCCTGGGTACGCGACGTTCCTGCTGGTTTTCCAGTCGTTTGCGGCTGGCGGGTGAGAAATGGTTTAGTTCGGGGGCATTAACCACATGCGCTGACGTCACTACACTGGTTCTGGTAGTTTCCGTGGAGTGAGGACAGGTGGGGTCGGTGGGCTTGTGAGCACAGTGGCTGTCAGTCGTGTCTGTGGCTGCGGTCAGTGCTAGGTTGGGCATCCCCAGGTGGGCCTGCCACACAAGGACAGTGATACGGGGTGTTCCTGGGGGCACGGGGGGAGGGCAGCACCTTGGAGCCGGCAGGAAGGAGGGCTGGAGATGGCGGTTTGAGGGGTCGTGTGCCGCACAGCTAGTGAGGCTCCTGGAGGGTCCCATCCTTCCCCTAAGCTCCGGACCCACGGCCTTCCCCGCGCCCATTGCTCCTGTCTCCAGGGCCCCCCGCATTGATGCACCTGCCGCTTCCGCTCCCCTCCCGACAGCCCGTACAGATGAGCAGTTCCGGGGCCAAGTTCACAGAAACAGAGAGGGCCCTGGGACAGGCAAGGCCCTGCGGCTTGATGGGGAGGGAGGCACAGGGCGGTCCTGGGACACCTCTGCACCACCAGCAGATTTCCCGGGGGGTTGGGGGCTGGCCCCACGCATGTGCAGGAATCCCACCCCAGGCACTGGGCACGTCCCTGGGGGTCAGGCAGCAACAGATGCGGTGGTGGGGGGCTGTCCACACACTTTATTAAGATGCACCCAGAGCCTGCCCAGGCTCCGCTGTGGAATGTGGGTGGTGGGGCGGCAGCCCCACCTGGAGCACCAGGACCAGCGGTCAGCCCTTCACCCCCATCCCCACTCGTGAATGACCCCAGCCAGGGGGGCAGACACTGCTCGGGAGAATACACGGACATGAAATGTGCCAGAAGCCCCTCCCGCCTCCAGCACGGTGCTCACCCAGCTGGCTGAGGGTCTTGGGGGGGGGTGGGGGGGCAGGGGTGGTGCTGACTCCTGCAGCAGGAGAGGAAGGTGGGGACACGGGCATCTCCCAGTGGGCCGTGTCCTTCGGCAGCGAGGCAGGGGTGGCAGGCAGCGGGCACCCTAGGCACAGTAGGTGTCCGCCTTCACCACCTGACAGTACATGGTCATAGCGAAGGTCAGACCCAGGATCTGTGGAGACACGAGAGGGGCTGGGCAGGACTGCTCCCGGAGACCACAGGCACAGAGGGGTCCTGCCACAGACCCCACCCCACAGCTTCCTCCCTGGGTGGCCCGTACCCCACTTCCCCAGGGATGCCTCCCCCAACCCTGGCAGTTCGGGTCCCTCCCAGCCACATCCCCGAGCCTTAGCATAGGGGTCACGCTGGGGACTCCTAGGGCTCAGCCCCCAGACCTGCCTTTCAGTGTGGCTGCTGTGGTTCTGCTGGTGGCTTCAGGGCCCGTTGGCTCCGTGGCCCCCCCCTCCCTCCCCTGCACATCCTCCACGTGGGATCACCTCTGACAGTGTGTGATCTGGCTGGGACCCGCCTATCACTGCACCCCAGGAACAGGGCTGCCCGATGTCCGGGTTTGCTGACATACTGGCCTCCAGCTCCTGCAGGGTCTGACACTCTGGGCCTCCACAGGGGCCAGGAAGCCCAGCTCGGGCACCAGGCCCTGGGCTGCCCACCCTTGCTCGGCACTGGCTGGGCCGTCCCGTGACTCACCCACCACAGCTGCCAGGCTTAGGCCACAGGAACAGGCTGGCCTACCAGGCCGTGATACGTCAAAGGTCACCTCCCTGTGGAGTGGCCTCTGACCACACCTCGAACCCCACCTCTGCTCAGCCATGGGGGCTCAAGGCACCTCCACCCGGCTGCTGGTGAGCTAAGCTGTGAGGTCAGAGACGGGTGAGTCCAGGTGGCTCCTGAGGCAGGACCCGGCCAGCGTACCTGTACCAGTGCCGTGCACAGCCCAAAGATACCCACAGCCAGAAGGTTCTCCTGGAGCCACATCTTCACGGTCTCGTAACATGGCTGGAGGAAGGGTGTGCGTCACAGGGGCCTCGAGGCTGGCCCTCTTCCCCACCCCCAGTTCCCCTGGGGCCAGGATGCCTGGGGAGGGGAGAGGCTCACCGCCTTCCACCAGGTGCCAGGTGCGTGAAGGCCACAGCTCTCACTGAACTCCAGGCAGCAGGAGTCAGGCACGCGGGTGGCGTTGTAGACCTCGAACCAGTCGGTGTAGTTGGAGACCCCACAGCAGCGAAACTGTGGACAGGTGCAGGGGCTGGGATGGTTGGGGGGTGGGTGGGTGGGCTGTGTCCCCTACACGACACACCCTCATCCCCTCTGCCTACACACACACACACACACACACACACACACACACACACACACACACACTCACGTCAGTCTGGATGATGCTCCAGGCGTTGGTGAGGCCCACGTTGCCTGGGGTCCCATACAGGTGCAGACCCTTCTTTAGGTCCTGCTGGGCATACCTGTCGATCTGCAGATGCAGTGGGGTCAGCAGGACCCCCCCACAGCCAGCTCCACCTCCCCCATCCAGACCCCACAGGCACCCTGTGCCCACTGTCTCCCTCCTTGGAGTCCCCTCCTCCCAGAAGCCCCCATCCCTAGGCCCATCCCCACCCCTGGGCCCTCTGTGGTGCTGAACACCGGTTGGCACCAGAGTCTGCCACCTCAGCTGCAGGTACAGACAGACGGACACGTACAGGAACACCGACCGGTCTGTACACGCAGGTTGTGAGCACACGCGGCTCCATCCGTCCGCCAAGGGGCCCAGAAGCTACGACGCCCCAGTGGCGGCGAGCACACTGGCCCCCGCAACTCGGTTCCCCAGACCGTCCTCCAGCGAGGGAACCAGGGCTCCCGGAGGAGAGGATGATTCCAGGCCTGGGGAAGGGGAGGCCAAGCCAGGTCTGGGGGATCATCCAGCGCCAGAAAGTGCACCAACGGGAGGATGCCAGAGGGACCCAGGAGCCAAGCGAGAGCACCCGTGGGCAGAGGGAAGAGCGTGAGCAGAGGAAGGAGCAGGTGCAGGGCACAACCGGGCAGGAAGCACACGGCCACAAGCCAGCAGTAAGTAAATAGGTGGTTAAGGACCTGGGGACGGGGGATTCTCCCTGCCTGGCAGACACGCAGTCCAGGACAGCAGGAGCTCAGCACAGCCATACCACAGCACTGCTCCCCTGTCCCCCACTTCCTGGAGGGCCAGAAACCTCCCCAAGCCTCCAGGCCACTGGCGTCCCCCTCCAGGCCCAGCCTCTGGTGGCTGCGGTTAAAGCCACGTCCCCCAGTGCGTGGATGGCAGGGCTTTTGTCCACCCACACCAAGTGTGGGGCTTGTGACTGCCATTCCCAGCCCTGCCCGCACCCTTGTCACCCACAGTGCTGTGGCCCTAGCTGGCTGGTGAGCTCAGAGCCCCCACCCCCGAAGCTGGGGAGGGCAAGGGTGGGCGAACCTTGTCAGTGTAGGCGAAGAACAAGATGGTGATGGTGGCCTCCAGCAGGAACACCAGCAGCAGCAGCACGAAGAACTGCACAGGGGACCCGGCCTTGGTGACTTGGCCGCCTGGCCCCTAGCTGCCCCCCTGGCCCGTGCAGCCTCCCAAGGGTGGGGCCGCAAATGCAGACAGACACCCCGCTGCTACAGGAACCTCCCCCACAGGTGTCCATTCCCCGGAGACCAGCAGCCCCCCCTCCTACTGCCCCACCTCCCTGGGGCTCCTGCCCTCTCTGGAGCGAGGGCTCTTCTCTTGCTCAACCAACCTCGGAAGCACAAGTCTCACCCCTGCCAGCACACATGTGTGCTTTGTGCCTGTGTCCCTGTGGTGGGCAGGGAGAAGGTCAGACCACAAAGACCCTGAACCATGCCAGTTACAGCCGTCAGAGCAGCCAGGGGTGGTCAACACCCCCTCAGGAAAGACCAAGGTGAGGCGACAGCCACCAGGAGCCTGCAAAGCCCCACCTGACCGCACAAACCTTGCCTGCTGGGTGGCAGTCATCCCCACCCCCCACCGTCTGGTGAGCACCCCAGAGCCACAGGCCAGCGGGGCAGCAGAGACCGCCTGCGTCCACCCTGCCTTTCCTGCAGCAAGGGGACGGGCTGGGGGAAGCAAGCCCTGTCCTCCCCCGGGATCCCCGATCTGGCCTTCCCTCAGTGCAGGCCCAGGACTCAGGGCCCACAGTGCCCCCAGCAGGCCCCGCACTCTGGACTTCAGGTCACCCTGCAGGGAAGGCTGGGGTTGGGCCCCCCACGCACACCACAGCTTCCTGCCCCGGGGCAGCTGGCGACTCAGCCACACCCCCACCCTCTGCTCCAAGGGATCAGAGCCCCAGGCCCTGACGGGAGCTTGTGGAACCAGCTGAACACCCGGGACAACTGCACAGATTGGGGGACAGGCCCTCCGAGGCCCCACCCTGGGCAAGGGCTCGGCTGACGAGATCAAGCTGCAGGAGGCCTTGCCGGACATGCTAATCCGTGAGGAGCCTGACCCCTCTCCTCCCCGGTTTAATGCTCCTGAAGATGGGGAACCACAGCCTGCCTGTGAATCGGTCTCCACTGCACAGGAGGGGACTGCGAGCCTCTCAGCAGAGGGTCCTGGGACAGGAGCTGGGCAGGGGCTCCCAGGAAGGGTGGTCTCAGAGCAAACAGACCCTATATAGGCTGGAGGGGGCCCCGCCTGGCACTCCTGGGCACATGGAGGTGGTCTCCGTCCTGTCCGGGGAGGCTTCCACTAAACCCTGACCGAGCAGCCCCCCCCAGCAACCAACCCTCACCCCGACCCCAACCCCAGCAAGGTCCCCAGGGGCTGCCATAGGCCATGGCTGTGACCTGTTCCGGTCCTGCGGAGTCAGCACAGGTAGGGAGCAGGGGCCCAGAGACGGAGCCTGCGTGCGGGGGGCACTCACAGTGAGCAAGAGGCACTTGTTCTCCTTGATGGCCCCGATGCAGCCCACGAAGCCGATGGCCATGATGAAGGTGCCGGTAACGATAAGCAGGTTGGCGGCCGACAGGGACGGGAAGGAGGAGGACAGGGTGGCGAAGTTCCCCTGGGTGGCAGCCAGCCAGATGCCGACACCAAGGATGCCACAGCCTCCCAGCTGGAACCGCCGGGGGGAAAAGAGGGCTGTGAACCCACCATCCACACACCCCAGGGCAGGCTGCACCAGACCCCAGTGGTCACCCAGAGTGGCATCCCACAGGCCCACCCTGCTGACCTTCAGCCCTCCCAGCCTTGTCCCAGCACCCAGCCGGTTCCCCCACAGTCACAGTAATGGGGACTCCAAGGTCCGCCACCTCTGGCAGTGGGGAGCAGATGGTCTGAGGACACTCTCCATTCATGTCACAAGTGGGGTGCCTGTCCCAGGGACACAGTGAAGCAGCCTGGGCAAGGGGCCCTAGGGCCCCCCAAACACCACCCCTCTAGGAAGCATCCCCCTCTCCCCCAGGTCCTGGCCTGCACCTACCCCACAGCCTCTCTGGACCTGAGCAGTCAGGGAGATGACCCCTGGAGACCCTGCTGGACCACACACTCCCCTCTTCCTAAAACCACCTCCCAGTGGGTGGCCATAATCCCAATGGGCCCCCCTGGCATCCCCAGCTGTCCTCTTCTAAGTGCAAGGCCCAGATCACGCACCAGGCCCCGGCATGGACACCAGCACAGGATGGAGCAGAGAACCCCATCCCTGGCCCTCACTGCCCCTCCCTTTCAACCACTGGGACTGTTACTGAATTTCATAGTCGCTCCTTATTACAAACACAATTGAAGGGACACCTGGGGGGCTCAGTGGGATAAGCATCTGCCTTAGGCTCAGGTCATGATCACAGGCTCCTGGGATCCAGCCCTGCATTGGGCTCTCTGCTCTGTGAGAAGCCTGCTTCGCCCTCGCCCACTCCCCCTGCTTGTGTTCCCTCTCACTGCCTCTCTGTCAGATTAAATAAATAAAATCTTTAAAAAAAAAAAAAAAAACATTGAAATGAGAGGAAGAAGGGGGAGAAAGCAAAGTGGTAAAGAACCCAGAGTGGGCCCTCGGCCTCTCCTGGTGACGGGGACACCCAGCCTTGGGGGAGCAGGGGTGCGCCAGGGCTCTGGGTGATCTCAGAAACAAAGAGGAGACTGTTTTCCAGGTAAGCCCCATGAACACTGACCAGCTCCTGGTTCCCCAAAACCTGGGCTTCAGTGAGACCACTTGGTGGCTAATGCCTGCTGGGCTCTGGGGAAAGCCAGGCGGCCCTGCCTGGGGACCCCTCCCCACTCCTCAACATCTGGCGGGGCCCCCAGGGCCCCCTGGGCACGACCCCCAGTCCTTGGAGCGATCCCCCTGCATGCCCAGGACAGGCTAGCTCACAGACTCCAGGGTATACCGCAGCCGCCCAGGACCACAAGCCCTGCCTCACCCCACAAAAGATTCCTGAGCCTAGAAGGCCAGACTCCCACCCGATTTCCCAGACCAGGGAACTGAGGCTGGGAAGTGAGCCTCCCACCCAGTGAGTCAGAGGCAGAGCCAAGGGGAGCCAGGGCCATCCACACACAACGACTCCCCAGCAACTGGATGGGCTCCCCAAGCCCAGCAGGGACCCCATGACTCTGCAGGCTCCACCGGCTCTGAGGCCCCTGCCCAAGGAGGCCTCACCTTCCCATGTGCACATCCTCGCCCCTTCCCCCATCACCAGGTCAGCCTGGCCCTGGGGTGGCGGCGGGGCACTGCTCCGTTGTCCAGGAGTCTCTGGGGAGTGTGCACGCCGTGCACTCAGCCAGGCGGGCAGGAGACTGCAATTGTGGGGGTGGGGAGCATGCAGCTCTCAGACCAAGAGCAGGGGCCACGGCTCCCTGGGTGTGGGCATCTGGGATCCCTCTGGGCCTTGCCAAGGGCTGAATGGGGCAGGAGAGCCCCCGGCTGACATGCCCCACCACCATCCAGTGTGGGGGTCCAGACAGCCCAGGGTGAACATGAGGGTCCTCTCTGGCCTCCCACCCTGCTTTGCACCTTCCACAAAAGCAAGAACTTCAGTCTAAAAGTTCTAAACAATACCTCTGCTGAATGCTGCTGGCTCAGGGCAGGGTCCTGGAAGCTGGGGTTGTCCTGCCTATTTGAGGCCCCTCCCCAGAGTAGGCTGGGGTCTGCAGCTCAGGCAAGGCGCAGGGAGGGGGCAGGGTACCAGTTTTGGGGGAGCCTGGTGTAGAGCCTGACCTGCCCCTGGCACTGACCACATGGCCCTGGAGGTCCCCAGAGGGCCCACGATGGACAGTGACAGAGCCTCTGCCAGTGGCCTCCTGAGAGGTGGTCAGTGGTGCAGTGATCAAACTCAGGGCCGTGACCAGGGGCCAGGAGGCCGGGGTGGGGGGGCTGCCCAGACGAGGTGGGAGCACAGTGGGGGGACCCACCCAGAGGAGGGGCTCAGACTGCCTCGGTGCCCTCGGTGGGCACCAGTGCAAGAAGAGAGCTGCCCTGTGTTGGGGGGACACAGACAGGAGAGGTCTTCACTGCAGATCTGGGCGTGGGCACCGCCCCAGGGCAGTCCTGGAGGTGTGGGTGCGCCTGCAGGGATGGAGCGGTGCTGGCACTGTCCAAGGTGCTGACCCCCGGCGAGGCCGCCCAGGGGACACCCAGAGCTTCTGGGCACCCCACACCTGCCTGTGCGAGGCACCGCTCAGCACCATGGCGCACAGGAGGCTGGGACAGGCTCCGGCTCATTCGATCCTCCCACCCAACCTACAGATGAGAAATGGAACCGAGGGGTTTTCTGGAGCTATGCCCCTCCCCCATGCCTGCAGGGACACCCAGCACCATGTCCCTACAGCGTACCCACTGCCTCCAGGATCTCCAAAACCCCAAGGCAAGGTTGAAGCTGGGGTTGCCCAGTCGGGTGCTGTGCACAGAAGGGACACTGTGGCTGGGGAGCAGGGAGGGAACCAGGTCAGGGCGGGTATGAATGTGGGCCACCTCCCCATGAAGCAGGACACAGTAACCGGCCACCATGCCCAGGCCTCATGCCAGTTTGTCCCCCACTGAACCATGCAGCCCCCACTCTGAGCACGTCATGTCTCTGGGCTGAGCCCCCAGGAGTGGGGCCTCAGTGGGGGGCGGGGGAGGACCGCCTCCTGCGGCAGGTCCCTGAGCAGAGGAATTACCCCTTCTTTACAACCCCAAGTGCCCGCCTTCAAGGACGTCGGCAGACGGCTCCAGTCAGCAGGAAAATGAGCCCGTCTGAGCTCCCTTGCCCCATGGGGACACATAGAAGGACAAGGGGAGGACACGGGGAGCAGAGCAGCTGTGGGGGTGGGGACTGGCCCAGGTCTCTGTGGAACCCAGGAGGGAACTCCTCACCCCCAGCAGCAGGAGAAATGGATTTCCATAATTAAGTCTACACAACGTCCCACCTCCACCCTGAGATGGCAGGAGAGACCCACACTGTGACACACGCACCCCTCACTGCCACCACGTCACACGCCCCACTGCCACGGGTGCCCCCACCATCAGTGTCACACACCACGTCACATGCCGTGCTGCCGCAGGCGCCCCTCACCGTCGGTGGCAGACACAGGCTTGTGTCACAGATGTGCTGCCCTGTGGCCTGCCGTGGCCACAAGCCCCAAGGCCCTCTGTGTTCAAGCACGTTTGCCCAAACCAGTCGCTAAACACTCAGACACGTACACTAACAAAACGCACATGCAGTTACTAAAACTAGCTATAACTTTGAAAATGTTTCTGTGCATGCAGCTTTTAAAACATTTTGGCAGGAAAATTACAGCCTCCAAGTGCAGGAAAAAACAAAGCCCGTTAGACTCAGACAGAGAACATCAAACACAGGGTAAGTGGGGCTGAGGTCCCTGGGAGGCTGGGACCCCACCCGAACCCCATGGACGTCCAGCCCCGCTCTCCCATGGTTTGGGGCACTGGCTGGGCTCCCCTCCCCAGCCACGCAAAAGCCCATGACAGCTTGAGAGGGGGGCCCAGGCCTCCTTTTGGGTCCCCCACCCATGCCCTCCCGTCGCTGAGGCCTCCCTGACTCCCTCCCGTGCACCTGGAGCCTCATCTCCTGCCCTCACCTGTCACCAGCTCCAGGCCACCGCCTGGCTTGTGCTCCCCCTCCTTCCTGCTGTCCCCCGTCCTTCCTGCAGTCCCCCCTCCTTCCTGCTGTCCCCCCTCCTTCCTGCTGTCCCCCCTCTTGCATTTTTCATTCTGGCCTAGGGCTGGGTGAAAGGACCACAAGTCTGAGATGCCAACCCCCACACCCAGGCCCGGGCAGGGGCAGGTGTCAGGTGGCCCTCTGCCACGGTCCCTCCGGCCCACAGACGGCAGGACAGCAGACGGCAGGACAGCTGGCTATGTTCTTGGAACACGGCAGAGGGCCAGGTGCCCGCAGGGGCCCAGCCTGTGCCCAGAAGCCCCTCTCCTGGCAGCCAGCACAGCCTTGGGGCACGGCAAGGTGGTTCGCCCCTCCCAGCCAAGAAGAACCATGAGGGGGCCCCATCCGTACAAGTTAGGAACTGCGGGATGCGCCACCGAGCCAGAACCCAGGTGTGCAGCTGCCCCAAGGCAGGAGTCAGGAAGACTGAGCCAAGGGGCTCGAGGTAGGTACCTCTGTGCTGACACTGGATATTGTCACCTGGTGGCTACTCGTCCGGCCCTTCACTGGAAAACTACACAACAGGCCGCCGCTCCTATGGGTCAGCAGGCCCCTGCGCCGTCCTCAGCCCCAAGGCGCAGACACAAGGAGAGCAGCCCCACTGACTGAGGGCCCTGACGCCAGCGTCCCCGGAGGAGGGGTTGGGCAGGGGAACAGAACAGCCCCGGCCAGCAGCTTCAGGAAGGTCACGTCTACCCTCCAGGGCAAGGAGGGGCTCACCGGACCACAAGGGGCATTGAGGACACAGGTAAGAACCCCAAACAATGCCCAGCCGGCTCAGCCAGTGGAGCATGTGACGCTGATCTCAGGGCTATGAGTTCGAGCCCCACGCTGGGAGTAGAGACGACTTAAAAAGAAGACTTTTATAAATGGGGGGGGAGGGGCACCCAGGTGGCTCAGTTGGTTGAGCAACTGCCTTCGGCTCAGGTCATGATCCTGGAGTCCCAGGATCGAGTCCCGAATCAGGTTCCCTGATCGGTGGGGACCCTACTTCGCCTTCTGACTCTCCCCCATCTCATGCTGTCTCTCTCACTCTCCCTCTTTCAAATAAATAAATAAATAAAATCTTTCTTAAAAAAATAATAACAATAAAGGGGGGGCACCTGGGTTCAGTTGGTTGAGCCCAACTCTTGCTCTCAGCTCATGTCTGGATCTCAGGGTCATGAGTTCCAGCCCCCCCCCCCCATCAGGCTCCACACAAAAACCTGGCCAGCACTGCTGGGGGAGGAGAGGGAGAGGCCATGGCCGGGTCCTCCGGGCAGCCAGAAGGGAGAAGGAGCCCCCTACCACAGGCAGAAGGCCGGGTCTGGGGCCGCAGCTGGGACGCGGACCGCCTGGCTTCCAAGGCCCCTCCGGCCCTTCAGCGCTGTGGCCACATCCCTCTGCCCCAGACAGAGTCCTACACATGTCTGCTTGAGATCCAGAAGGATCTCTCCAGACAGGTCTGGACGACCTACCTCTCCCCTTGCCCTCCCTTCCAACAGCCCAGACTCCACAAAACCCACTGGGGTCATGGGGGGTGGGGCAGGAGACAGTCCCGACAACCACCCAGGGTAGAGCCAGAGCCTCTGGGCCCCTAACAGACCGCCACCACCCCCAACCTATCAGAGAGGTACCGACCTGGCCGCAGACATGCACACCTGGTTCGGGCATCGGCGCCGCTGCTCCAAAATTCAGAAACGGGCTGTGTCTGCGGACAGCATGGCTGCCTGCCGCAGAGCTGGACCCAGAGACCCAGACTGCCACCGCAGAGCAGAAGGACATCCCCAAGCCCCAGAAGCCCCCTCCGCCCCGTCGGCCGGAGGCCGGTCCCGAGGAGGAGAGCTTTCTGAGCCTTGACTAGGCCAGCCAAGCACCCCAACCCCAGGACCTGCTCCCCAGGGCCCTGCAGACCCGATCCCATCACAGAATCCGCCTGCCCTCACCCCCCACCCCTTCTTGTGGGCAGCAGAAACCCCCCGCCTCACCCCGTCGCAGAAAGCAGCCGCAGCCGGGACATGGGGACCTGCCCAGCACCATCAGGAGGCCATGGCCAAGAGGAGCCACAAGGTCTGAGACGCTCACAAGCCCCTGCCCTGGGACCTCCCAGCTGCAGGGAGGACTTGGGGGAGGTAACGGATCCCAGCCCTACAGGCCCTCTGCCACCAGGTGTCCCCTCCCCCACCAGTCTCAGGGGCCTTGCCCAAGGGCCAGTGACAGCAGGCCAGGCTGCCCACTTGGACGTCATCTGCAGCCCATCACCTGGGGCGCAGATGGGGCAAGGGAGACCCCGAGGAGGTGGCACTTACCCAGAGTCCTATGGTGGCCTGGGCAGCAGGAAAAGGCAAGCACGGCTCCAACCCCCACCCCAGCCATGCAGAAGGGACCCTGCCCACAGGCGCAGAGAGAGGCAGAGTGGGGAGCAGCCCAGAGGTGGGAAGGGGGCCGGGAGGGACACCTGCCAGGGAAGCAGCAGGAAGGCAGGCCCTCAGCTTGGCTGATCTGAATCTGGGAGAAGCTGGGCACCTGCCCAGAGGAGACACACAAGCACCCTGGCCCTGCTGGGCTCAGACCCTCCTCTGCCCAGGTGCCCCCCACACCTGGACCACTTGGGGCACGGAGACTGCCCCTGGGGAAGCCCTGAGCAGTCTGCCCCAGAGCAGGGGAGTCTGGAAGGGCACCTCCTCCCCCTCTCCCCACCCTGGGCCTCCACCTCCCCCTCTGTCACTGTAGGGACCCGAACAGCCCCAAACCCTCACCCTGCGCCCAGCACCCCACCTGCTCCCGCGTACTGAACAGGGCCCTCTTTGCCAGGATGGGGCTCCCGGGAGACACCCCTGCCCCCATCGTGGGGACCCTGGCCCTAAGGTGCCCGATACATATGCAGGCCTCTGAGGAGGGCCATTGTGTCCCTGCTGGAGCAGTCTGCTGCCAGCAAGGGCCCCACCTGCTACGGGAAGGCCGGAGAGCGTCTGGGGGTCAGTTGGCTCTGAACTCTGAGGGGCCCCCATCACCAGCGCCTCTGCCCCTCTCCTCCTCCGGGGGGTGCCGGTTTCCTCCAGCTCCCCCGGCTCAGGTCACCCCTGCTGCAGCACTGGAGACAAGAGGCAGGCCTGCTTCCTTCGCCGAGAGGAGCCTGTGATCTAACCCGTCCACACAGGACTGGGCGGCTGCGGCCCAGGACAGCGAGGTGATGACTCTTGCCTGCCCGACAAGGACCTGCGGCTGGAACCTTCAGTCCTGCCCAACCCCGCAGGCGCCCCCCAGGAAAACCCGTCGAATGGGGCACCTGAATCAGAGTCAATTATCGGCTAAGCCCTCCCCCTTTCCTGCCCCTCCAGGCCGAGTCAGGAACGGCCAGGGCCACCCGATGGCCTGGGGAGCAGGTGGGATGTGGACAGCAAAGCTGGAGAAAGCAGACGTGCAGATGCCTCAAGGGGTCAGTGTGGCGGCCCTGTGGGATTCTACTTTCAGCAGTATCAAGGCCCTGAGGGAAAGGGGTGTCTGGCGGGGCTTGGACAGGAGAGCCAAGACGAGGATGAGCCAAACTTAGAGAAGTCATTGCACCTTGACCTCTAAACAGGTATGAGGGATGGTGCCTTAGGGGCTCCTCACCTTCCTGTTCTCCTCCCCCCATCTGCACCTGCAGCCTGGACTCCTGCCCCCCCCCCCACCAGGGCCCTGGGCACCCACTCCCTCTGGGAGCCACACCCAGGACAGGCATGGCTGCCCCTTCAGACACAATTCCCCCCCACCCCAGCCGCAGATGATGACCTCCCCCCTGGCCTGGCCCTGTAGGGCGGGGGTCAGAGGGACTGACACAAGTGAGTGTCTTGAGGTCCAGCCCTCAGGGACTTTCCACCCACAACCGCGGCCCTGACCCTACAGTTAGCTCCAGGGGAGACTAAGGCATGACACTCAGAGGTCTCCCAGTGACAGTGGGAAATGGGCTGGGGGGCCAGCACCCTCAGGTAGCAAAGAAGCTGAGGCCCAGGGAAGGGTGCTGTAGCCTCTGTCCCCGCCACCCGCAGGCTCACCGGCACAGGGACTCAGCCCCCTGACCATTCGCACCACGCCTCACGAGTGCTTCCCACGGGCTGTGGGCAGGCCCCGATGCCCTCTCTGACCTCCGGGTCTCAGATCCCGGCTGGGCACCACGCTGGGGCAGGGACAGGCCCAGGTCAGCAGCAGGGGGCCAGCTGGCTTTGCAGGGATGCAGAATTGTGGAATAAAAGGGAAATGGACTGTCCTGCCCAGGAGGGGATCCCAAAGGGGTTTCTGACCCACCGCAGACACTGGCAGAGCGTGTCTGTCCTGCCGCTGGTCGGCTGCTCCTCAGGCTTCACAAGGCAAAGACAGCTCAGCCTGGGGACCCGTGCAGGGGGTGGCTGGGCCCTGGAGGGGGCCCCTCTCCCTCTGCCTGCAGGCAGCTCCCCAGATCACTGAGGAGGGCAGACAAGGGAAGAGGCAAGTCTTGCCCACCTCCTGGGACCTGACTCTCCTGCACACCCACCGCCCCCCACCACCCCAGGATCTGTGACAACCACCACTGTCAGGTGAGGTCACCCACAGTGACATGCCGACTCTGCCAACCGCTCGGTACCCATCACACTGGCACCCACTGCATCTCATCGACATCCCCCACCAAGAGAAGATGCTCACCCCAGTCCCGGGCCTAGGGCCCAGCTGCCACCCACCCCTGCTGCTGGCTCCTGGCCTCACAGTGCTTCGCTCCGGGCCGGGGCCTCACCCCTGCCAAGAGTCTCTTGTGGAGAACAAACTCTTAGGGTGACCGCCTCTGGAAGCAGGCACCTGGGCCAGGAGCCCCCTTGGGTCACACCGCAGGGCAGCCCAGGCGGGCTGCCCCTCCGGGGGACCCCTGACTCCAACCACCACAAGCTGGGAAGAGAAAAGCACAGCCTGAGAAGGGAGGAAGGGGCAGAAGGGGGACCCCGGTTTCTGGGCATCTGGCCTGAAGATGAGCGTGCAAAGCTCAGCCTCCTCCTGGGGGTCCAGAGCCTGGGTCACACCCCCTTACTCTTTACTCTGGAAGGAGGAGGGAGTGACCTTGGCATCCTCTCTCCCCCCAGCCTCCCCCAGCCCAGCAGGAGAAGCCCAGCCCAGCCAGGCCTGTTCCAACCTGCTCAGGTGAGACAAGGCCACAGGAGGGCCTGCTGTGCCTCTGGAGTTATGGGAGCACCCCCACCCCACCCCAACACACACACACACACACACACACACACACACACACACACACACACACAC